CTTGTTCTTAACCTTCTCGGAAGAAAGCTTACGGACTGTAGCGACGTAGTGTGCAGGCATCCTCTGGCCACCAGTAGTGTCAACCCATCGCTTAGCCATAGCAGTGTGATCGCAAGGTTCCTGAGCCGGAGCCGCAACAGCGGTCGCCGCCAAGGAGGCGATGAGGATGGAGGAGTCGAACTTCATATTGGCGGATAGAAAGGATGTGGAGGAGGATTAAAAATCAGCTGCCCGGCAGTGATGTAAGTAGAGAATGTACAGGTAAGATAAAAGCCGACTAGCAGCGATATATACAAAGAAGAATGATTGAATAGAAGTAGAGAAGAAGACTGAGTAAGCTGGATGAGTATCGAACTGATGAATAGTAATACTGCATGGAAAGACCTTCTCTATATATCATGCCCTCCATGGGGAACGGCCCGATGGGGTGGAGCATGTCCCGTATCAAACGGTGCATGCGTTCTAGCCTTTTGTTCGAACGTTTTGTCGATCGTCATGGTAGATACGCTGTAGCATAGCGTGCGCGAAGACGCACATGCCTTTAGGCTGTTGTGCTGTCGCGCGGGCATGTGTCGTTTGGTACTTCAACGGGCAGAGGCGAAACACTGGTCGTGCAGCTGGTTCCGCATGCTATACGCAAAACATAATTGCTTGTTCGGTGGACGACTCGTAGCTTAAGCACGAAGTGTACCTTGGCGTCGCGTGGAATCGCTGGGGAAGCGCTTGACCTTGTAAATTCCTAATTCAAATCATATCGCGATGACTTCCTCGCGCTGTCAGTGAGCCGTGATAGACGTGACAGCATATGATATCCCGATTTCTGTTCTTGGTCAATCGTCGACGCGTCCTCTGAGTGATGGTGTCGCTGGTTCCGTCGCAGCACCCGTGAAACGACAGCTTGGCGCGTTAAGTGTCGGCTAAGTACGCGTGTTTTGGTTTCGAAACTAAGGCAGATCGTGGGTGCAGCCTTACGACTGGAACAGTGGATGTACGAGAGCGCATTTGACAGGTCCCGGAGGTTTCGTGAGCGACCTGGATTGAGGGTGAGTGATTAAGACGGGGGCAATGGATGGTGGGTGGAGTCCAAAGAAGCTTAAAACCTTAGCGCGCCGCTAGCCTTGGCTTTGAAAGACGGAAAGAGCGAACACTCAGGATGTCTTGAATCCGTGTTTGATGATATCCAATCGCATCTCTTCTCTGTCATACGTTCCACAATGGCACTGTCGCTGAACATGCTCCAAAATCCCGTGCGCCATACATCCCTGATATACACCAAGATCTTGCCTAAACATCGAAGCTCACTATCTCCTCCTTGCCAGTCCTGTGACATACAGCTCTCCAGGCTCTGCTTCTACTTTCCATCCTTCGTTGACCAACGTCTTCAAGACTGCAGGTCCTAGCTTTCCCCTTCCGCCCTCGCTGTGTCGGCCCAAACCTGTGATGATCCTGTATGCCTCGCCACCACCTCTGCGACCAGCACCGCTCCACTCGGGTATTCTGCGCTCGCCCAGACCGTTCCACCAAGCTTGTGTTCGTTGTTTGGCGATTCTCGTTGCGTCGGCCACAGTAACGCCATGGAGATCGAGGTATGTTGGACCAGATTGTGTGGAAACGAATGCGTCGGCTTCGGCTGCGTTCATCGCTCTCAGATTGGCGTTGAGGTCGCGGCCTTCTTGTGCATAGTACGCGGCTGCTTGCCTCATGAGTGGTGTCGACTTGCCCTTGCGGTAGGCACCTGATGCTTTCCCGAATGCGTCGTTTCGTGCAGCAGCTGTGGACATCGCGTCGCGTGGTCGAACAGAAGGAGTCAAAGTGGGGAGTCTCGTAGCTTCGGAAGGGTCAGATAGATCGACAGGAGCATATCGTAAGTCGAGCTTGATACCACCCTTTCCACCTGTCTCGCTAGCAGGTTGTTGGGTGAGGGATTTCGCTAGCTCCTGGGCTTTTATCGTCGAAGGAGCAGTAAGTCGCACTATGGCAAGGGCGTGCTCCAGATCCATAGATGGAAAGCCCTCGTTTAGTGCGATCGCATCCTGTACCAGTGCAGCATCTGGTTCACCCTCTTTCTTGTGCGCTGCGATATCCTTCTTTACAATGGCCAGCACAGTCGCCGAAACGGACGTTCCATTCGCGTGGTAAAGCGACGATACCGTCTTCGCTGGAAGGCCTGTACGCGAGGTTATAAAGTCTACATCTCGACTCGTGTTTTGCCAGCGATTGGTTGGCGCATCCGATTCGACGAGATAGCTATTACCCGCCTCCAAGGAAAGTCTCTGCTTCTTCTTGCTCTTAGCCTTCTTGCCTTTTTGCGGTACGAGATGGTCTTCTGAGAATGCATCAATACCCTTCGCGACTGGACCTTCTTCAGTAGGGCTTTTCCTACTGTCATCGAAGAAGACTTGGTTCAACAGTTCATCCGTCGCTTTATCATAGTCGTATCCACACTTCTTCAGTGTGTACGTGACTTGCGCAAGCCGCAGACCTGGGAAGGTTTCGGCAAGCAACAACTCTTTTGTGGACACGTCCGACTGCTCGATATCCTTGTAGTACCCATCCTCCAGGGACCCTTCTGAGCCCCCCGACCGTCCGTTGACACTGAGTGTAGAGAACTCGTTCGATAGCGTCGAGTGGTCCGTCGCTACCGTTTGCGTCGTCCACGAGTCGGCATTGGAGTCGACATCGGTGCTGTGTTTATCTGGGCTGCCTTGAACTGCGCCTCCGCTGCTACCAGAAGGGTCGAAATCGAGAGCTTCGGCGTCGGCCGTCAACTTCAGGGGTTCGAGTAGTTGCCTAGTAAGATCGATCGCATTCGGCTCTCCTGCGAAATCCGAGTAAATCGTGTAAAGAAGAGTGGGGTCTATCGTGGGGCAGTATTCCTGCTGCAGGTCGCATTGCCGTTAGCGACGTCGTGCGATTGTCTACTCTTGCGCCGTTGCATACCTCGAGAAGACGGAGGTCCTCATCCATTTTGATTCTTGTAGTATTGACGTCTTCGGATGTGTCTATGCGGCGAGTGCATACTCAGACTGTATGTCGAGACTGTTGTAGTGTGTCGCACGACTATATCCCCTTGAAGATGTGCGCGTTTGATATGCCACGACGTGTTGTGGTAGGATGCTTGTACGATAGGCGGGGGCACAGGCAGAAGTGCGTGGGGTGTTGTGGCAGAGTCGGCGCGTAGTCGCGAAAACCATGGGTCGAGGGGAGACACAGCCGAGCTTGGCGACCAAAATATACCTAGCTACCTCACCGTTGTTGCAGCACAGCGCATCTCGTTCGGCAGAAGAGATTCAGAGTTTGCGACGTTCGATTCCCAAGCTCACTGAATTCTTCGCGCTGGTCAGATGTCACACGTCATCTCGTCTTGGATCGAACTGCGCGTCATCAACCGACTTAATCGACGCTAATGCAAGCGCCGCGAGGCTCAAGCGCGGGAGCCCTACCAAGCTTTCGACGACCTCACGATCCGATAGATACTCACCAAGCTGGACATTGTCTTTCGTTCTCGCTGAGGGTTTCCGAAGGGTGGTGCAAGTGCCATCAGGAGGAGGCGGTTTCCGGCTTGAACAACGTGATACATGCTATCTAGGTACACAAGAACCAGGTCTGGCTCTACAGCAGGACACCTTCAGGACTATCGTCGAATGTAAGGCCTCATTTGATCAGTTCTCTTCCCGCATTTCCTCAACATCAAGCCCCGTCTTTCTCGATAGAGAGGTGCCGTACCTGCCGGTCTCGGAGAATTTGACTTGGCAGCACCGAGAGATCAGCCTCGCGTACCTGTTTTGGCCCCCAACAGCGCTGCGCCGCCATCACGTCCATGGCGGTGCACGAGATTTGTGCCCAGGCGTGCATGAGTTTCAGGCGACCTGTCGCATCCTTGCTATGAGTTTAAGTATACCTCAGGCCTCCCAGGCGCCGTGACGTTTTCCGAGTTTGATTCCCTCGCGTCTCTCATACTCGAAAACCGCATCTCCAACACCAAATAACAATCAGACAACATGGCGCCCATCCAACGTCGCAACACCAATCTTTCGCTGCAAGGCACTGTAGCGGTCATAATTCTTGTCATTATGTTCGTTACAGGCATCTTCTGTACAGTCGTTTTCATGAAGATTTGTAGTACACAGCGGAGGCGCGAAACGGCTATGCGCAGGATGCAGGAACAAAACGCGCAGTACGTCGGAGTTCAGTATACTGCACCACCGGGCGCCCCAAGCAACGGAACCATGCCACCATCGTATGCAGGACAAGGGCATGTACCCATGGAGCTGCATGGAGACCAATACAAACACAATGGACCGCAGGAGTTGCAAGGAGAAGGGAGGCCTGAATGTACCCAACCGCAGCAGATTGATGGCTATATGGCAGCAGTGAGTACTGTTCTTGATGGAAACATTGCGCTAGGAGAAGGGAAGCTGATCTGTTATAGCCAACGGTCGACAATAGCGATCCTATCGAACTACCCGCGAACGCTATGGTGAATAATCACGGGAACGATAGAGCTGGAGGTTTTGCGATGGAGCAACCGCAGCAACAAAAAAAGTCGGCGTTTGCGCGCATGCAAGCCATGTTCAAATGAAGACGTCAGGAGGCCCAGCAACGTGATTAAGATCACGGAAACAGTGTACGAGCAAACGACGAATTCTAGGCAACTATAAAAACAGAGCTATCTACATGAGCTTTACGAGCGCGTTTCGGCCACGGAATAGGAGTAACAATGGAGGAACTACGACATTGTCTCGCTTTCGCAGTGAGGGAGCCCGTCACCGCGACTTTACGATCAGCGAATCGCTAGCATATACACACCATCAAGGCTCCTTCACTGCGACTTCCTGATTAGCGCCTTGCCAGTCTGCATATATAGATCCACGACGACTATACCTCGATCAATCCTACATCCCGGCTTGACAATCGACACAAGCTATCTTGACAACACTCAAGCTCGTATCAATCAATTGTACTACCCACAACACATCAACACCTCAACAACCGTCACTATGGACCTCATCGACGCCAGCAACGCCCCTGTACCCATCACCGTGGACCCCATCACCGGCAATACCATAGCCGCCAACGAGACCGAAAACGCGATGGAGGACACCCAGATGGCCGACCCCGAAGACCACACCAACGCAGCGGACGATGAAGCCGAGGACTACTTCATCGACAACAGCCCCACCTTCCACGACTTCACCACCCTCCCCCCAGACACCAAGGCCACAATCACCCGCCTCCTGGCGTCCGCAGGTGCCGCTTGGGAATTCCGCTCCATGGCTACCCCGTTCCCAATCCAGTACCTCCCCGATCCAGACTGCCACAACTGGGGTCTAGCACTCATCTCCGCGCTCAGCCGTCTGGCGGATATGACACGCACTGGTTTCAAATTGGAAGCCATCGCGTTCATCATCAAGCACATGAAAGAGCGGAATGATGTTCCTGGTAATACTGAGGATGAGGGTGAGATGTCTTCGAAACTTGAGAAGGGAATGCGGTGCTAACAAGGCGCTTGAAGATATTGCTGCTTCGGTGGTTATGGCTGGCGATTTCGTGATTCGGCTTGAGGACGTCAACTACAGCATCCGCAAGATGCGGAACAGGGTCAATAGCTACCGGCCTGCTCCACAAGGCCAAGGCCGAGGTCATGGACGTGGCGGCTACCGGGGTCATCGAGGACGTGGTCGAGGACGTGGTGGCGGAGCGAGGGGACGAGGGGGTATGATGGGCTTCCACGGTTGAAGTGTTGTTAAGTGATCGACATCACCTGGCTGTTGTCATGAGGTATGGGGGAATATGACATAGATGGTCCGGGTGTACTTCACAGCCTTACTGGATGTACGTGGATACTTGAAGATACATTGAATATCTCCAAGCCTTGCTATGATGCGGAACTCTGTGATTTCCGGAGACGTGTTGAAGACTACATATATACTACGCCAAATGCAAAGCTATCCTTGCTATTCCCATCGTAAGCCATAAACCCACCTAAGTCTCCCGATGTTGAACAGCACCACTACCGCGCTCGCGCGTATAGCATCCCTGCCAGTAACCCTACTCGCCTCTATACCTAGGCCAAATATCTCCTACATACCCGCCGCACATGTCAAACTCAAAGCGGAACATATCGTAATGGTGTTTATTTGTGTATTGCGACAGATCTGGCTGTACGTAGAGGGCTGGAGAGATAGCAGGAGGCGAAGGAACCAGGTTGATGAAGATAACGCGGAAGACAAGAGACGAGCAAAGAGGCGCTCGAAGAAGAGGAGAGCAGTTGCAAGGACGAGTAAGAATACGGGTAATGGCCGGAAAGTGAAGATTGTTATGAAAGGGAGGTATACGCTGGTATTGCAGTAATGGGCTGGTATAATATGGCGCATGAAGCCAAGTCTATATGCATTCCCAAGCTCTAAGACGTCGCCAGTGTGGTCTAAACAGGTTCGCAACACGTCATGTAAGCTCCGCTAGATGAGCAAGTGTTGCCCTTCACATAAAACGACGAGGACCTGAAATGCTCTCATCGTTATCTGACTCAATGTCCCTGTTCACCCTATAGCCTGCCTCGTCCTCAGATTCGCTCTCCGATTCGCTTTCCGATATCTGGGTCCTGGCATCCGGCTTTGCCCAGAATTTGCCTTGCGATCCGTTCTCTGATTCGCCGTCCGATTTGGTTTCTGATTCATTTTCTGATTCGGTATCCTCATCCATAGCCCCAATGATGTCCAACTGTAGCCCGGCTGTCTTGCACGCGTTCTTGATTTCCCTCGATACTCCGTCTTCGCCCTCAACCACAACCAAAGTCTTCCAATTCCTAGCAACAATATCCTTCTGCTCGATGGTAGCCAACAAAAGGTCTGTGACCTCAGCGTCGCTTCCTAGTTCGTTGAAGAACTCGAGTGTGTCCATAACCGGCGGGAGACCAACGGAATGAAGACGCGGTTTCTTAGATGACTTTCCAAATAGCTGGTAATCCCAGTTCAGGCGCAACGTCTTGAGCGCTGCAAACTCGCGCATACGTAGTACCTTGCGTCCGGTAAGCGTTGGGTGATCGATCGTTATGCTCTTCAAAAACTCGGCTTGTGACTGAGCAGCCAGGATATAGTCCCCAACGTTATCAGAGCTTTCTTCCAGTTCTGGCTCCGGTTCTTCTGTTTGCGTCATGACAAATTCCTCTAGCGCTTCCGGTAGTTCGAGGAGATCTCCAAGTGAGTCGTCGTTAATATCGCATTCGATCAAGTGAAGTTGTTTGAGCGCAGTCATGTGCGGCCGCTCAATGTGATCGAAGCCCTTCTCGTCTAGCTTAGCTCTGCGGATCGTCAAGGTTTCCAGCGTAGGATGGGCGAAGATATGTATGTTCTCGCGAAGGTCCCAGTAAGCATCATTAGCGCATTGGTAGAATAGTGAGCAGGACTTCAAGCAGGCGAGGTCGAAGGGTCCGTTGAACAAGGTACCGATACCGTGTAGGAGCACGTCGGGGACGGAAATATCGAGCTTCTCTAAATTTGACATTATCGATAAAGTCCGTGAGAGGCTATCTGAGCGCTTGGGATCCAGGTATGAACCGGCGACAGGCGCATCAAGCGCCAGTTGCGACAGCTCCGAAGATGGGTAGGCAAGCTTGATTTCATGGATGGCTGAGCCGCGGCGCGGGCGACGACTCAATGACTCGCTGAATGTGAGGTGCAGCTCTGGAGTTTCGAACAGAATGCTCTTATATAAGACGGCGTCACTGAGGCGGTGGCATCGTTTGTTGACGCGCGATACGTTGCAGAGGTCGCGTCTGGAGAGGCAACCAACCGCCTCGAAGATGTGGAGCAGCAGCTCATCGGGCAGCGCACTCAGTCTGTCGCGTAGAGCGACGTCGGCATTACTGTCTTTCTCCAACGGCATATCTGATACTAGTGTATCGATGCGAGAGAGAGGAGACGAGGTATCCATGCGCGAGGTACTTCGCAACCTTTGCTGCGAACACGTGGAGTTGGCCTGACTCGCTGCAGGTGGAATGCGGGGAAGCTTGTGGAGAGCCGCCGATCTTCAATCAAGGTACAATAGAACGATATAGAGGAAATGCTGCATAAGAGTAAAGTGTTAAAGTCGTTGTCGTAGACATTAGAAGACAGTGTTGGAACACGCAAGTCTAGGAATGAAGGTACAGTGGTGATGCGTCCAGTGACGGGGCAGGAACAGCGATGCGCGCACGGCCCGCCACGTGCGGCCGGTCCCATGACATCACCCAAAAAACCTCATCCCTCATCTGACGCTTGCATTCCCACAAATGACATCTCCAAACGACTTGTATCGGCTTTCGGTTACATGCTGGCACGGGTCTACTAATGGAGCATGTATCCCTATCTTACACTGCCCAAGCGTGTATCGAACCAGTAGTAGCAATTTTAGGCTAGGGGTGGACAGTCGCCGGCAGGTGGCGCACGATTGTATCGTGAACCTAGGCTCACAAGCAGACTTCGGGACTGATGCTAAGCATTTCAACGCTGCGCGCTAAAAATAACGTAAATCTCTAAAATGATATTTGAGTATGACATGGAACTCAGTTCTTTCGACTCCGGCAGTGTTGTTCATCATGCTGCGTATTCATTCGTCTGCGCATCGATCAGGCATATGAGGAAAGATCCATACGTACTGTGAGGACTCGTCTGTGCTAATAAACTCATGTCTCGCACAAAAGAGCTTGCGTTAGCACTGTTACACGAAAAAACACGCTGAACAAGCAAGTGTTAATGTATTGGGTTAAGGTCCTTGGCTACAAGCGCGAACGCATCACAAGAAACCTTATGGACTTGGAATTGTCGATTGTTGCCACCGCTTTGCTTTTCGATCCCATATATCTCTTTCCAAGATGGTGATTTGGATTGCTGAAGTCCTGACTGGCTCGCCTCGCGCTGCGTAGAACGGTTTGACGGCGAATGCCGACCATAGTATGATATATCAGAGTTACGTTTCGAGTACGCAATTATCAGACATCTGGTTGGTCTCTTGTTCGTACTGTAGTCATATATTTGCATAACCAAAGTTAAAAAATTCTCGCTACCACCATCTTATCAGATTATTAAAATTTGGAGTCCACACTCAGTTGTGCAACACTTCGACACAACACAACTACCAACTCTCCTTTCGTGCCAACATCTCGACAGACGTTGCAGCCTACTAAGAACTCTGGAGCCTTCTCTTCACTATTCTGGTCAAAACCACCGCCCTTCTTTTACGTCACAGTACCCAGGCAGCCCCCCTGCATCACATTCACCCTTGGCAGTGTGCTAGACTATCGTGATACAGCACGAGCCTACTCCCAGCACTAAGCTTGTATAAATACGTGGGAAATCTGCCGAAGAGAAACGAATCACCGTTGAGAAAAAGTCTCAACTCTCAGAGAAGTTGATCAGCGAGACTGAGCAGTCGACCACCCCCTTTCCCTACCAGATCATACCTGTAAGTCTTTGAAGCCCGGTTCAATAAACAAGACTGACTGACATTACTAGCTCTTGAGATCGACAAAAATGTCCGACTCAAGCTATTCCCGCTCCCCCAGCCGCGATTCCAACGACTCCTCCTCCCCTCCGCCCCTCTCCCCGAACGCGCAGCTCGAGCTCGCCCTCGCCAGCAAGTCCAGCCGCGCAGTCCTCGCGCACTGTCTCGGTCTCTCAAGTCTCGACGGCGTGCCACCCTCCGCCAAGAACATGATCGTCGTCAACTTCGACACAGAGAACTGGGAGTGCAAGCAGAGCGCGCTGACCGAGATCGGCGTGTCCACGTTTGACTCTCGCGATATGCGCGCTCTGGCAGGTCCGGGTATGCATGGTGAGGACCTGCTGAAGCAGGTGTACTTCTATCATGCGCGTGTTCTCGAAAATGCGCACTTGTTAAACTTGAAGTGGTGTCCTGGAGATCCTGAAGCGTAAGTATCATCTCTTTCTTCCTAGAATAAAGGACGTCGGCTAACAGTAACGCAGCAACCGCTTCGGCACTACCCGTTTCCTCACCAAGTCCGAGGCCAAGGAAATGCTCACCGCGATGTTTCAATGGCCCGTCGACCACACAGATGCTTCGAAAGGCTTCTGCCCTGTCGTCGTCATGGGCCATGCTCTGTCTGGCGACATGGCCATGTTGAACTCCACGCTGGGTTTCAACGCCATGGCTCTCGGTACGGTTGTCAAAATCATCGACACCCAGTACCTCGCCAAGGAGTGCAAATACGATTCCTGGGGCGGTAACAAGATCGGTCTTAGCACCCTCGTCGGCATGTGTGGCTTTTCTTATCGGAATGCTCATACCGCTAGCAACGACGCAGCTATGACGCTCATTGCTGCTATTCAGATGGTGCTCCCTCCCGAGTTCAAGCCCGAAGCCGGCCGTAACCTGCAGGAGGTCGTTGATACCATTGAGTTGCTTAGTCAGCAGCAACAGTGGGGCTGGGGCAGTGACCTCTTTTGTCTCCGTTGTGGCAAGTATGGCCATACCAAGAGGAATTATCAAGGCAAGCTTTGCT